TACATAACAAACGTGTCACAAACACGTAGTTAAAACTTAAAACGCACAAAATGATAAACTGTGAGGATCAATTTTCATTTTTTTTTCAAATTACCAAAATTTTACTAATAAGATAATAGCCTATATATTAAGTAAAGCTGTCCAGATTATATATGTTGACAAAATTATTTTAAAATTTAAAACCCAAAATTAAAATTTAAAGATGAAATTATTTTTGCTCTATTTTACTTAAAAGACGAAATTTTTTAATACTTTTTTCGAATAAACAAAATTATAAAGAGTATAAATACATAAATTAGATACAGTATATAAAAAATTTTAATTTTCTCTAATGAAAACAAAATAGACTTTTTTTCAAAACCAATTTCAGTAGCATATATAGGCCTGGAGCTAGGCCGGCATTAAAAATAATACAAGCAAACTATACTACAGCAAAATTATTATCTGGGCCGACCTAAATGTTGGTCGGTTTGCTGAATTTTGGTTCCACTAATCTATCCGATAATGATACTAATTACGTAGAACTGAGGATAGATTTGTGGTACTAGAGTAAAATCGCCACCCATAAAAATTTCGAAATAAAATTTCGTGCAGTTAGGTTATGGTTAGGGCTTTGCCACTAAGTTAGGATTCGGAGGCATTTCATATACCAAAATTTTGCAAGGAAAATTTTTTACTAGTGCGCAGAAGTCTCTTTCATAGGCTTAATTTATAACCGATTTTTGATAAAACGAACGTTTGTTTTGAATTTTCCTGGCCGTGAAATTTTTTAGAATGATGATCCTACCCCAGTTGATTAGTGGAGCACCAAAATTCAGCAAACCGACCAAAATATAAGGTCGGATAGGCCCGGAGCTAGGCCGGCATTAAGCAATAATACAAGCAAACTATACTTTCATCTGGGCAGCTTTACTTAGTACGTAATCGATTAAATTTTTTTCTTCGATTAATAACATTACTGTACTTAATATGATAATATATACATACAGTACAGTATTTTTATAATTTATTACTGAAATTTAGAATTAAAGTTACAAGTTAGAATTGAGGTTAAAGAGTTTTTCGAAACGCTAAGTACTGTATTTTCTGCTTAAAACATCAATGACTAATTACCGTTACTTTGCTAATTTTTGATATAGCAATTGTATGATTTGGTAAAGCCTTTTATTTTGTTAACGAAATATTACGCAATCTAATTAAGAAATATGTCATTATGGATTTTTGTGTAATTAGACAAGTGGTATCTCTAGTATAAATATAGAACTTTTTGCAATAATGTAGATCATGCTTAGCCGATTCATTACGTATCGGTATATAATGGAAAGTTCTTGAAAAAGCCAGATTGATTTTGTGTTATTTCTGCATTTGAAAAATGTTGAATTATATCATTAATTTCCGAAAATATAAATAGACACAATAGACGTTTGTTTTTTAATGCACCTAAAAATGATGATGGATGGATTAGAATTTGGGTATCACCCAAAATACGGTTTTGCCTTATTCGCAACTCGTGATTTCCAAAAAGGAGAAATTCTCTTGTCTGAAAAACCTCTTATAGTTTCCCAAACCCTAACCTCTAAACGCGACAAAGCTTTCGCTTATACTTATGATATTGACTTGGATGTCTTCTCAACCTTTAAAGCATTCTTTGACTCTTCAATAGAAATACAAAATATCATTTTAAATAATTTCTATCTTCCATCAACTCCAGAATTAATGGATACCGCTTGGTCGCAAGTCGGATCTACTCGTTTAGACAGAATCATCGACATTTGTCAAAAACACATTCGGGAATGGTCAGATGTTAATCGAGACACGTTTAAGAGAGTGTTTTTAGTATTTACCTTTAATTCACATGCTTTTGGATCGGATAATTCACCTGCTATTTTTGCGATTGGAAGTAAAATGAACCATTCTTGTGAAGCAAATACATTTTATCAATCTATTGATAATCAAGTTGGCATTCATACGGTCGCTAAGAAAATTCGAAAAGGCGATCAAATAACTACCAATTATCTTGGGAAAGATACAATTTTCTCAACTAATTCAAGACAAAAAATTCTCCAAAAAACGAAATTATTTCAATGCGATTGTTCACGATGCACAGAGAAATTGGACATATCACGGGGACTTCCTTGTCCAAATTGCTCAATTGGTGGATATATTTATTGGCATCCAACTTCCATGATAAATGATAAAAATGATAGAATTAAATCACAAAGTTATTGGCTTTGCGACATGTGCGATACCAGGATTGATGACAATAGCCCCTACCTTAATGATTTATTAGTGAAAGAAAAAGACATAGAGCATGAAACAATCGCTTTTAATGAAAGACTAAACGAGATTAATTTTGTGAATAAATCACAATTACTGGATCTACATGATGCTTGCATAGGTCAGCTCGGGACTCGTCATTGGACGTACATTCTAATTCTCAAAATGTTAATACTTTTGGATACAACACAATTATCGAACGGAAAATATGATAATAAATCGTCCCTAGTTAAAAATTTTGATAATGTATTGAATTGGTATGAAAAAGGTGAATTTGATATTCCAAGATACTTAGGTTCATTTACTTTGCACATTGCAAGAGTTCTTTTTTGCATTGAGGATTATTATAATAGTTTGCGTTTTCTTGAAAGAGTTTTTAAGAATTTTCCTTATGATAAAACATTTTCACATGAGTACAAAGAAGTCATTAACCTAATGGAAAGATGTCGTATGGCATTGGATGAATCTGTTTCTGGTCAAGAAAATGAATTACATATGAAACCAAGTTGTGAATTGCTTCAAACTGAATTGTAAGAAGTGAGATAGTGGTAATAGTCAATATATATTCATAATGAAGGTAGTAAAAAAAAAATTGAAAATTGATCCTCACAGTTTATCATTTTGTGCGTTTTAAGTTTTAACTACGTGTTTGTGACACGTTTGTTATGTACCGCAGACTATCATAACAGAAATTTGTGTACGTATGTAGTTGATCATGTAAGGAAATATCAAGTGTATCATACATTTTTAATCTGTTTCATACATGCTATACTATACAATACTATACAAAGCGATGATTTAAAAATCATCCCTTTTACAGTATTAGAATCCGTTTTATTAAAACTTGGCATAATATTCCGTGTAACAAAATTGGTACCAATTATAAAAATCGTCAGAAGTCCCACCAGCATTAGTGGGCATTAATAGGCTAGTATTAAGCGAATATGTGGTTGTTACACGATGTATCAAGGCATTAATACACTGTACTAGATAATAAATCGTTTCTTAAATTTTTTTCCTTTCAAAAAAAAAAAAAAAAAAAAACCCCATTTTTTTATTCAAACACAGCTTAAAAATTTGTAAATTATATGGCTCTAAAGGTTAGTTTAACCTTTATTCTACACTCCTCAAAGCGTCATCCTGATTTTGAAATGAGGAATTAAACTTGCAAAGTTTTTTTTAGTACGAATTAGAACAATGGGGGGCAGCTGTCAAAGCTTATGATGAACAAGATTTCGACCTGGCCTTGGATACGTTCGAGGTAGGGTTGTTAAAACACGTCGATCTGAGCTTCGTTCCAAGTAATATCTTAGTTACTTGCTACACAATTCTTTTTTATTTCCCATTTATTTGACAATTGCTTTTCACAAATAATAGACCATAGCAGATTCGGCAAAATTTCATTTTAATATGGGCTTAATTTATGCTACACTTGGCGAGCATGAAGAAGCGGTGAGTTTTATACAATTTGTTACTGCTTTTATTTGAGTTCACCTCTCGTTAAGCTTTTATCGATTATTAAATTGAAAGAAATTCCTAATTTTCACTAAAGTGTCGGTCCTATAAAAAATCCGTAAAATTGGATCAATACTTTGCTGTGGCATACTTTCAAAAAGGCGTATCACATTTTTTGCTGGGCG